TCCGGTCCCTGCAATAGGTTACCAGTGCTGGGCCAACCCTGGTGGGAATAGGTTTCGTGCCTTGGCCTGTTCCCCTTGGTGGCCCAGTGGCCACCATCCTCCAGAGGCCACTGGACAGTTAGGTTTGGGCCCGCAGTGATGAAACTTGTTGGGCCTCACAGGATGGGGGTGGAGCCAGTCCTGTCCTCCCCACCCCAACGAGACCCCAAGTCATTGCCCACGCGAACGGCCTCTCTGGCTCCTTATCAAGCTGCTTAATGGCCATGATCCCAGAGACTCAGAAACAAAATCTCAAAACCCAGTGGCTTTTGGCAGAAATGTGTCCGGACCCCACCGTAGGTTACTGTCACTGGGCCACCCCAGGGAGGAAAGGGTGTTGTCACTCTGACTTCTCCCCCTTGGCGGCTCGGTGGCCGTCATCCTCCAGAGGCCATTGGACAGTCAGATTTGGGGCCACAGTCACGAGACATTTTGGACCTCACGGGATGGGGGTGGAAGTAGTCCTGTCCTCCCCACCCCAACAAGACCCCACATCATCGCCCATGAATGGCCTTTCTGGCTCCTGATCAAGCTGCTTAACGGCCATGATCCTAGAGACTCAGGAGCAAATCTCGGAACCCAGCAGGTTTTGGCAGAAATCCCTCCAGATTTAAGTGTTAAAATTTCGGAATTTCAAAATTGCGCAGCCACTACTGCTGCCACGTGACATCATATATTATTCATAATCAGCAATAGAAAACAAATTGTCTACTGTTGCCTTTTCAGCAGATCTGAGTCTTGGGGCAAAATCTCAAATAATAATGGTGGGTCTGGTGTCAAAATATTGAATGTGATCAAAGTAGAGAGAGAGTAATGTGGAAATCATCTGCCCCACAGGTAGGGGGAGGGTGTGGGATAGGGGTATACTGGGGTTGTTGGGGGTGGAGAATGGGCACTGGTGAAGGTACAGGTGTGTCATTGTATGACCGAGACTTAGACCCAAAAGCTTTGTAACTGCTCTCACGGTGATTCAATAAATAAAATTATAAAAAATGAATAAATAAATAAATAAATAAAATCTCAGGGCTGGGATGAATAGAGATGTTACTGACACCCACTCAAGTAAATCCATGAACAACGGGATGACAATGATGACAGTGGTAGAGAGAAACAATATAAAATAAATTATTTTGGTTCTGTTTGGGTCAGGGGTCGGGGTTCAGGATGGAAACATCTGAAACAAGTGGTGGTAAGGTGTAATGGTCGTGGGATTGGTGTTTGAATATTTAATTTAATCAAATATTTTGAACTACTTTATAAAAGTAAAATTAAAAAAGTAAAAATTTAAAAAGAACCAAAATCATTCTGATAAGAAGTTGGGAAGTATCACATTCCTTAACTTTATACTATTGAAATTAAAAGAGATGAAAGTAGAATAAGGTTACATAGACAGACCAGTGTATCAGAACTGAGATCCCAGTGATAAATGCTCAGATATATGTACAGTTAAACTATGACAAAGAAGTTGGGTATATAAAATTAAGTGAAACAAGGAAGACTTCTTCAACAAATGGTGTCAGGAAGGGGCTGGAGCGATAGCACAGCAGGTAGGGCATTTGCCTTGCATGCAGCTGACCTAGGTTGGATTCCCAGCATCCCATATGGTCCTCTGAGTACCACCAGGAGTAATTCCTGAGTACAGAACCTGGAGTAACCCCTGTGCAATGCTGGGTGTGACCCAAAAGCAAAAGAAAAAAATGATGTCAGGAAAACTATATAACCACTTGTAAAAAAATGAAATTATATCAATATCTAATTTGATATTATATTAATATCTAATATTAATTATTAATATTAATAATTATATTAATTAATTTAAGGTGAATCAAAGACCTAGAGATTAGAGATTAATAGGTTGACTAGAAGTAACAATGGAACATAACTGGTGGGTCTTGAGCACATTGCTGGTGCTTAGGGAGGTAACAGCACTGCAGTACTGTAGCACTGTAGCACTGTCCTCTCATTCATCGATTTGCTTGAGAGGGCCCTGTAACGTCTCCATCGTGAGACTTGTTGTTACTGTGTTTGGCATATTGAATACTTCACGGGTAGCTTGCCAGGCGTTTCTGTGCGGGCGAGATACTCGCAGTAGCTTGCCGCGCTCTCCAAGGTAACAGCATAGACTAAAATTATAATCATCAACCAACAAATAATAATAGGGATAGTTGGTATAGAAGGAACATCAGACCAGAGGTGATGAGTGGTGAGTCAGAGGCACTTTGGTGTTAGTGCTGTACAATAACTTTGTACATCACAAACAATACTATTGTAACCCTATTATCTAAACTATAATAAAAATTTCGATTAAAATATAAAGGTAGGGAGAAAGCCCAGGAAATTGCTTAAGGGACTGGAGCACATGCTGTACATGCTGGAGCCCTGGGTTTGATTCCTGGCACTATTGTCCCCTGAACACTGAGGAGCACCCTGGAGCACTGAATTGGAACAGTATCTGAGCACATCCTTGTTTACCCTCAAAACACAATAAATAAAAATTGAGAGAGAAAAAACACATACTTCGAAGAGAACACAGGTTTATCCAAGGAGAGAAGGAGAAATAGTACAAGGAAGGAATTACAGGTCAAGAGACATGGTTTGAATGCAGGAGACTGAGTCCGTTTTCCGGCTCTCCATTGGTCCCCTGAGTATGGACAGAAATTACTCCTGAACACTAAGCTGGGAATAGCCCCTGAACACTTCCCGGTGCTCCTCCACCAAAAACAGAAAGGAATTCTATCCTCAAAGTTGGAGTTCAGGTAACCTCAGAAATTAAATGCATGATGCTTACATTGTATGGCCAGTTTTATAGCTTTTATCCCCAGTTTTCTTGGCATGAGAGCTTACTATGGTACAGCTAAGAATCAATTGCTAATACTACTACTGGGAATATACCCTGTGGCCACAAAAACACACAGCAGAAATGCCTTCTAGATTTCTATGTTCATTGCAGCACTATTCACAATAGCCAGAATTGGAAACAATATGAATACCGAAGAACAGATAAAGAAACTATCTACACAATGGAATACTAAATAGCTATTAGGAAAAAAATGAAGCCATGAAATTCACTTATAAATGGAACGACATGGAGAGTATCATGCTGAGTGAAATAAGTCAGTAGGAGAGGGACAGACATGAATGACTGCACTTATTTTTAGAATACAAAAATAGCATAGTATGAGACTAATACCCAAAAATGCTAAAAACAAGGGCCAAGAGGATTGTTCTAGTGCTGGAAACCTGCGTCAAGTGTTGGGGGAGAAGGCAGTTGAAATAGAGAAGGGACCACTATGACAATGGTAATTGGAAATGATCACTCTGGATCATGCTGAACATAGGTAAAGAAACAAATATCAAACAAAATAGCCTCTCAGTACCTGTATTGCAAACCATAATGTCCAAACACACACACACACACACACACACACAGAGAGAGAGAGAGAGAGAGAGAGAGAGAGAGAGAGAGAGGCTGTTTGGGGGTGGGGGTGGGGAGAAACTGTAGACATTGGTATTGGTGTAGGGAATGTACACTAGTAGAGGGATGGGTTTTGGAACATTGTCTGACTGAAACCCAACCATGAACAGCTTTGTAACTTGTGTATCTCACAGTGATTCAAAACAATCAATTGCAATTTTCTTATTAGATGGAAAGGAAAAACTTTGAACTTTCATTGGTCTTTATCTAGTTTTATCGTTTTATTCCTATGGAAACATCTCCACTCTTAAAGAATTCCAACCTTCTCCCTTTGGACTGGCATTACTCAGAGTTTTTCTTTGTATAGGTTATCTTTAAAGGGGGGTTAGGATGACATCTTCAATCTGGAACTCAAAGCTGGTGACAGGAGCTTCTTTTCAAATTATTTCTTGATTTTATTATTTTGCCAAATATATTTCCAAGGAAGTACCCTAACTGCCTGCCTGCCTGTCTGCCTAAATATATGTATCATTTTTAGTAAGGAGTTATATTGCTTTAACAAATTTTCCTTAGTCATTTAGTATCACTGTAGCACAGTCCTCCCGCTCTTAATCGATTTGTTAGTGGGCTCAGTAACGTCTCCATTGTTGTTACTGTTTTTGGCATATAGAATAGTCATGGGTAGCTTGCCAGGCTTTGCCGTGCGGGTTGGATACTCTTGGTAGCTTGCTGGGCTCTCTGAGAAGGGCGGAGGAATCGAACCCTGGTTGGCTGCGTGCAAGGCAAACGCCCTACCTGCTATGCTATCACTCCAGCCCAGTATCACTGTACTTAAACTTATTTATAAATAGCCAAAATGACTGAAATTTATATTATAAAATAAATATAAATAACAAAGACACTGGCCAAAGTTGAAAATAACATCTTTTAATCTTAAGACACATTTTAAAAATTTATGGTTATTGAGGTGAATATTGGCAGACATCTGGAGGAGGTGAACATACAGGTCTGATTACAAGAGGTCTTGAGTTTTTTCAGAGGACCTTGTGGAGAGAAAACTAAAACCAAGTGTTTGTTCTTACTATACTTTTGCCTGAAACAGTAATTCACATTGCCCTCTACTGTGTACTCCCGCATGTAGGCTGCCAATTTTGTTAGGATTCTAAAATTGGCCAGAGGCCCTGACTATCCCATGGTTCTGGGACCAGCATCACTGTGAGCTGCTTAAAGATGAAGATTCTTGACTCCACCCCATATCTAAATCAGCAGCTGGGTACAGGCATGTAGTTTATGCACACCCTGCAGGTGTCAAGCCCTGACTTCAACCCCAAAATTTCTTAAATAAATCAGTTACGTAGTTTAACTGACTCCCCTGGAAATTTTAAACACATTAAGGTTTGAGAAGGGATATACTGGACTCATCCTCTTTCTGCTGAATTAAAATTACTATTATAAACAAAGACCAATCTCAAAAATGTTCTCTTAGGTACTGAAAAAATTTCACTAGCCACTTTTGTATCTGATTATTTTAACCCTTTTATTTTAGGACATGTGCCTGCTGGTCTGAAATGTCATCCTGACCAGGAACATCTGGTTTACCCTCTGGGTTGCACAATATTAATTCAGGCAATAAATAGGCATGACCAGAATTTTCTACAGGGGCATGACAACAATGTCTCCTGTGTCACCATATCCAAGAGTGGAGAGTACATTGCCTCTGGACAAGTCACTTTTATGGGCTTCAAGGTAAAAACCTGAATTTTGTGAATTGATTTCAAGGTTTTGCCAAGAAAACTGTTCCACTAGCTCTGCGCTGCTTTGTGTTTTTATGTCTCTTCCTCTTGCCTTTTCTTTGAACCAATTCTCATTGTATGACGCACAAAGTGAAGAAAGCTAGTGTTGTTAAACCAGATGTTGCAGCTTGCGACTAAAAATCATTTTAGGAACAAAAATTTTAGAAGCAAAATTTTTTAGGAACAAAATTCATTGCTTAAAAAAACAGTGTTAGAAGATAGTACATCAGATAGGGTACATGCCCAGCATGCACTCAACCCTGGCACCACTTAGCCTCTGCAGTGTTACCCGTACTTAACTTATGGGTAGGAGACACCCATAAGCATGACTGGGGCCTTAGTGGCCCCAGAAATACAGAGCCCAAGCAGCCTAGCATCCTTGGGCTCTACCATTGAAATGTAGATCTGATTGGCCAAGAATAGCAGGGAGTGACACTCAGGTCCATTGGCATCTGGGAGAACTCCTCACTAAGATCAAGCAAAAAACAAAAACAGAAATCAAAGCAGAAACTGGTTTTCAAATTGCTACTGTCATGTTTGTAAGACATGATCTCCTACCAAGAGAAGTGGTTTCTGATTATTTTCCTCCTTCCCCCAAAGTGGTTGATTCTATTGTTTGACAGTGTATTTTTGTCCCTAGGCAGATATCATTTTATGGGATTATAAGAAAAGGGAGCTGATTTCTCGACTGTCCCTTCACAAGGGCAAAATTGAAGCTTTGGCCTTTTCACCAAATGATTTGCATCTGGTATCACTAGGCGGCCCAGATGATGGAAGGTAATAATCTAAATTTATTTGTTAATTTCCCATTGGACATATTTCTTCGAGGGGAGCACAATCAGCAGTCAGTGCTCAAGGCTTACTCCTGGCTCTGAACTGGGGGATCACTCTTGGTGGACTCAGGGAACCATATGGCATACCAGGGATTGAAAGGCAAACACCCTACCTGTTGTACTATCGCTCCAGCCCACCAGACATATTTCTAAGCATGTTAAGTACCGTCTCCTTTATGATACTTTCTGCTGCTTTGTCAATATTTCAGTATTTTTATGTAAAAAACCCATGAGGGCAATACCACAAAATGTTGATTTTCAACCCTAGTTGTGCAGTGAAATCCAGCAGGGAATTTTGGAATATTACTCATACCTTGTTCCACTTTCAGAGAATCTGCTTCTTGGTTTGGGCTTTAGGAGTTATAGGAGTTTTCCTGGTGATTCAAATGCACAATTTAATTTAAGAGTAATTGCTGTAAAAAGAGATGACATCATCATCATTATCACTAGTAACACTATTAACACCACCATAATCATCATTGTTATCATCATTTAAGAATGATGAGAATTTATATGTGTATGCTCAGAATTTAACTGCATTGTATCATTTAAACCTAACAGCTCCATAAGATGGGAGCTATTAAGGTCAGATAACAATGAAAGAACTAAAATCTCCCATTGTTAAATAGCAAAGCTAGCAGGAAGAAAAATTCTGGCAAACGTCAGAGGTAGTTTTTGTGACTTAATCATGCAGAATCTCCTGCCCCCGCACCAGGCTGTCTTCACCAGGGCCCCCTCAGAGGGAGGTGGGTTGAGTTTCCCTCCCTGCCCCAATCTCTTTAATACGTTGTTTCAGTTATTTAACTTTACACCCTATTTCTGGTAGTTCTTGGTATTTTCAAACTTCAATTTAGAACTAAGTTATAGATTGCACTCAGTGATGTACATGTAACCTAAAGCAAAGCTTCTCAGAATCTCTTCCCCAGACCAGCAGCATCAACATCACCTGGGATTTTTTATAAGCAAATCCTTGGATTTGCCACCCAGACCTGAAATTCTTCAGGTATACTCTACCATTGTTGATTGTAATCAGTTCTCTAAGTGATCCTGACACATAATCAAACTCAAAAATACTACCTATCTCAGTCACTTTACTACAATTTTATTTTTGGTTAGAATACTTCCCTCGGGAAAAATTTTACATGAGATAAATGGATGGTAAGATTTTATGCCTTGCATGTCTGAAAATGCCTTTATGTTCGTTCAAATTTGCTTTGTGGTCTCACTGCTTTCTCTTGCTTCATTTCCTTCAAAACATCAGTATCACCCCTTCTTAATATCCAGTGTAATTGAGTAGCTGTCTGCGGGTCAGTGTAATTCATTTGCTCCTTTGTAAATAATTTCCCCTTTTTTCTTCCTACAATCACTAAAAGAGCCTTCTATTACTTTGAATGCCTGATTTCCCCTGATTGTGGTTTCTTTCCTTTCAACAGTGTGGTAGTGTGGAGCGTAGCCAAGAGAGAAGCTATTTGTGGCAGTCCTGCAGCTGGCCTCAATGTTGGGAATGCCACCACAGTGATCTTCTCCAGGAGCTGTGATGAGATGTTTGTTACTGCTGGAAAGTATGTGTCTCCATTTACGATTTTCAATAATCATAAGTAGGTCAATTTGCATGTATAGAAAACATAGTCATTCCAACTTGTAGGGAAACAAGTTTTAATCCTAGAAAATCTTACATCATAGTTTTCATGTCATTAAAAATATCTTTCTTGCCTGAATACCTCAACAGGCTAAGCACATGCATTGCATGATGGAGGCCCAAGTCTTATCCGTGGTATTGCATGGTTCCCTGAGCACTACCAAGACTGACATCCAAGCACCAAAACAGGAGAAGGTCCTGAGTATAACTAGCTATGGGCTCAAAACAAGGAAAAAATGTTCTTTTGTAAAAATTCTTTGATATTGCTATTTCAAAATTCCATTCTTTCTTCTAGATTATGTGTCAGGATCACTTAGAGAACTGATTGCAATCAACAGTGGTAGAGTATACCTGAAGAATTTCAGGTCTGGGTGGCAAATCTGGATTTGCTTTTAAAAAATCCCAGGTGATGTTGATGCTGCTGGTCTAGGGAAGAGATTCTGAGAAGCTTTGTTTTAGGTTACATGTACTCTTAAAAACATCTTATCTATAATTTATGCTTATAAAATAAATTGCATCATTACTCTTCATTACACTTATTGATTTATTTGTCTCAGTTCATTTAGGTTTCATGAAATGACAGTTGTGAATAAACCATACTAGGAAGTTTAAAATGCTTGACTATTAGCTATGTGAGATCACTTCCATGAGTTATCTTTGACCATATAATGGGAACCAAGATGAAGTTCTGGACAAAATATTCTAACATAAGATACTAATGTACAGACTCACCAATTAGAGTCCTATTCAGGTTTTAAAGTGAAAGCTCATTAATTTGTGGAGTTAGTGGAGTTGTTACATAATGCTTTTTCACACTGTGAAGCTGGATCTGGATCTCTGATCATGATCTCTGGATCATGGCTGTTAATGAGCTCATATGGAGCAAGAGGCAGTAGATGGGTGTAAATGCCAGGCAACCAGAAGCACAGGGAGATTGGTGAGAGGGCACCTATTCCTGACTCCATGCAAGCCTGGGGATTTCAGTCACAAAACCCACATACCTGAGTTTTTCAGCCGATTCATTCTCATGTATGAGGGGTTCGTCTCAAGCCTGTGAAGGTTGACCATGAGCATGGCGGTGATTGGGTTTTGGAGTTTGAGATGGCTGGGGTCTGTTGGCACAGGCAGAAGAACTCACCTGCCCCCCACCGAGACACCCTGGATAAAGTCAGCCTGCCACAGTGTGAGGAGGCAAATCTGCAGCATGTTGCTCTCTTTCAAGATTCATTTGTGAGTCTTGCATTTAGTCTTATATGAGATTTTATTCCTTCATTCTTACCAATTTTTTCTCATGTAAAATTGTTTTTTTTAAAAAAATTTACTTAGAGAAGTATGTGTGTATGTGGAGAGAGAGAGAGAGAGAAAGAGAGATAGAGAGATAAAGAGAGAAAGACATGTTCATGAGAGAACATGGATTCCTTATGGACATTGACCTTAGGCCTTTTTGGTATGTGTGTATGTGTATGTGTGTGTCTGTATGTGTGTGTATGTGTGTGGACATCTCTTAAGCAGAGTTCAGGGTATTGCTGGGCTACTTCCCAAAATACTCACCCCAGCTATGTGACTCATACAGTTCACTGCTTGGGTCGGCAGTGTTGGGAGCCATACTGGGGCCTCCTGTGTATAAATACTCATAACAACCCTTTGAGCAATCTCCAAGGCCCTTGATTTTTATTGTGGGTTTTGATTTTCTAAAGCTTTTTTGAGTGTTCAAAGATCATTTCTGGTGGTTCCCAGGGGACCATAATTTGTGCGAGGTAGTGATGAAGAGTTATCTGTGCTCAAGGCAAGCATCGTAACCCATGTAATAACTTTCTAACACCTGACATTAAGTTTTAGTTGGAAACCAGTCTGGAACAGGGAGATTGGCAGGTTAACCTCCCCAAATTTTTGAATTTTCATTGTCAAGATCCACACCCCACTGCCTATCAAAAGAATCTTCATTACTAGTTCAATGGTCAGAAATACGTGAATGTAAGGTTGACATATAAACTGGATGGCAACAATATCTGGTGCCCCATATATTAAAGGCTTACATCATTGTTTATTTCTAGACAGAGTTATGAATTTGTGCTGCTCCATGTCTGTACCTTCCCCCAACCTGCCTGTCTTCCTATAAGCAGCTATTACATTATTAACTCCAAGGAAGGATTTTTCAGAAGCCATAAAATTAACTAACCTCCATTGATTCTAGCCACCAAAGAGCAAGCATTAATAATTAGTACTCTAATCTTAAAGCATTTGTAAGTTACCAATGACCATAAAGCTCCTAAACTATCTGCAAGCAGAGTGGCTTGTCATATGGAATCTTTCTGCTCTTCAGTAACTATTTAAGAAATTTACACTTCTGGTGGCTAGACAACCTGACAATCTTTTTCCAGAAATCAGAACTTGAATTTAATCCATGAATAAATAATTAAGACAATTTATATTCTACTACTGCTTTAATTTCATGACAATGATAATTGTAATAACTTAGCACTCTTAGATTTCTCATTATATATATATATTTCTCATTATATATAGTGAGTATAGTATCCATCCTCATGATAGTATTCATTATGGGCCCAATATCAACTACTCCATTATATTGTCTCCCATAAGATATTCTTCAAATTCAAGTATTTAAGCATACAAAATGACTTCTACCAGGAGAGCTATAGAAAAGAATATTCTTTTAAATTTGGAAAGTGTATTCAAAATATATGTTTGAGGATTTGCTATGTCATAACACTGGAGCACCTCAAGAAAAAATGTTCAACGTGATCAGCCACCATCCAGATCACATGTCCGTCTCTCCCAGAAGGGGCCATAACCACATCACCAGAAATAGCGCCAGCTGTTTCACTTGGGCGCCCTGGAAGGGGGTGGGTGAGACCCATCCCCAGCCCAAGGGATCCCGCCCCGGCAGCTGAAAATCTCCAGAACCCAGCCACCAAACACCATGCTCAGATCCTCTCTCCACATGCTCAGGCTGTCTCACCAACGAATGAATCTGTTCCTGGACTGCGCAGCTGCATATATGGCCACACGATACTTCAAACCACACACCCTACCCATACTCCAAGATTACTGCACCACGTTTGATAGGGTTCAAAGTAGGAGGCAACGAATCTTAGAGGGAAATATACATTTTTATAGATACATATAGAAAAAGCACACAAGGCTCAACCTTTAACAACATGTAAGTGGTATCTTATAAAAGGGCTTAATGGCCCCTGGGTGAAATACAACAATCTCCACACTCTTTCCTCTAAGGATACTCATTTTCAGCGTTTTTTCCTAACAAATAATACAAAATATATTATTTCAGTTCTGCTTTGGGCCAGGAATTGGGGTACAGGGTGGAAACATCTGAAATATGGTGGTGGGTAGGTATAATGGTGGTGAGATTGGTGTTTGAATATTAAATGTAATGAAATATTGTGAACTACTTTATAAAATAAAAAAGTATTAAAAAATACTTAACATATCTTAACACATTTACAGTATATGCATACTTTTCTACATTCAGTGTCACTGTCCTCTCGTTGTTCATCGATTTGCTCGAGCAGGCCCAGTAACATTGTGAGACTTGTTACTGTGTTTGGCATATCGAATACATCAGGGGTAGAAGGCCAGGGTTTGCCGTGTGGACGAGATACTCTCGGTAGCTTGAAAATTAAATCTTTGTTTTGTTAACTGTGATGCTTTTATATGACTAACCTGTCTACAATGAATTTATTCTATTCTATTTTTATTAATTCATATTAACCCAAAATGATTAAATACCAACTATATTCTAAGACACCTTAGGAGCCTACTTTGCTTGTCTTCTAGCTTCTTAGTCTCTTTTTTTTTAATCTCCCTTGAAGTTAGAAATTTCTATAAAGTTGAAATTAAATCAAGTTCTTCCCTTTATAAAAGTTTTTGAGGCAGGAGGTCCAGGGACACTCTCATCAATATTTGGTCAAGCAGGTCAGATACTTCATTATTTGGCACTGTGATGCGATGCTACTCAGCCTCTGTGGTGCTGGGATATGGTATTTTTTCACAATAAATCCAATTGTATTGGCTCCTTCTAACAGTAGTTCAGCAGAGTTAGTAGCAGAGAGTGAAGCAGACTTGCTCTGTAGCATGTTTAGATTGTAAGCTAACCTCAACAGCCCCAACAAGGGAATCATCTGGCTATTTATTGAACAGAAAATCTCTCTCCCACCCTGGATTCCTGGTTCCAGACATTTAAGTCATTGTTTTCATTAATAGGTATATTAAAAAGAGTAAGCAAGTTCAGTAAGAGCAAGGGTTGGGATAAAGGTGATATATATTCAGTAAACACCTTTCAAGTATAGTATTAATGTCATGGTGATTTCTTATTCTGTTTCTGCCTTGGTTCACCTTTGTTGTAGTTATTGTAAACTAAACTAGATCTGTTTTACTCAAGGAACTATTCTGGACCTAGGGATTATTAACAGAGGCAGGGTGGGATGGGGGGGGATGGGGAGTGAGAGGGATACTGGGACCCGTGATGGTGGGAAATGGGCACTGGTGGAGGGATGGGTTTTTGATCATTGTATAATTGAAACCCAAGCACAAAAATTTGTAAGTCTACAACTGTACCTCATGGTGTTTCACTAATAAAAATTAAAAAAGAAAAAAAAGAAAGAAAATGAACTCCTGCACTGGGAGATATTAGGAAATTCCAGTGATGCTCTCACCAACTACATGGTGCCAATGATCAAAACATGAGTCACTTAGTATGTAAGGCATATGCTCCATGACATCTGAGCTATCAACACAGTCCCTAAAAGACATTTGAAAATATGCAATATTTTTATAAGCATCCCAAAACTATTCCAGAGAGTAAGAGTTTTGTCTCAAATCAAGAAGTCTTTATTAGCTGGCAAGCAACTGCTCTCTCAAGCTCAGCCTAGATGATAGAGGCAGCCCTAAGAACAAAAAGCAAAGTTTTTTTTAATAGAGAAAAATAATATTCTAGAATTTCACTAAGCAAGCAAGGGGTTACAGAAGCAAGAAGAATAGCAATTAGTGAAGCATGCATCCTGGACCAAGTCACAACACAGTCATGGGGATATAATTACTTGAAGCCTATCCTGAAAACAGGTGCTGCAATTTCCTTTGTTCTGGGAACAGGGCACAGTAGATTCCATTTTCTCTTTGTGTCAATTTCCCCTTTGTGTTTTTTGTTAATTCTCTGATTTTACAATACTTTGAAAGAAACAGAACTAATGAACTACCATTTTTTCCTTAAGTGTTTTTTTGCTTATTTGTGTATTTTCCTATCTAAACTGTAACAGATAAAGTATTCACTTTAAAGTGAATGAGAGATAGTTATGAATTCTTTTTGTTTAGACATTTTATTTTCTTATTTGGAACTGGGGAATCATAAAACCTACCTCACATGGTTATGGTAAAGATCATGAAAAATCGCTCTTGGATAAAATACTAGGCTATAATTAAAAAAAATACTAGGCTATAATTAACCTTCAAAAAAATTTTTAGTATATTAACTAAATCTACATATATTTAGTTCCTTTAGATTTTCCTTCAATATAATATAGAAAACATAGATGAGAGGAAGTACATATTGATAGATATCTATTTGATTGTGATTTCTTTTCTATAGTGAGACAATTCGTGTCTGGGAACTGGATCTCCCAAACAGGAAAATTTGGCCAACTGAATGCCGAACAGGACAGAAAAAAAGAATAGTCATTAGCATTGCAGTAAGTATTACTTTTGGGGGATTTTTTGGAGGAGTGGGCACATCAGGCAGTGCTCAGGAATTACTCCTGGCTCTATGTTCAGGGGTTGCTCCTGGAAGTGCTCATAAGATATTCAGGGGTTCAATATTGTGGGATTGAACCCAGTTCAGCTGTGTAAAAGGCAAGCAACTATCCACTGTACTACCTCTATGATCCAAGTATTACTTTTTAAACAAGTACTAGTACAAATTTCTGTTTTAGCAGTACTGATCAATGTGTGTGTGTGTGTGTATCTTTTGAGAACTGGAAATGGACAAGTAATGTCCGTACATATCAAATGGTCACCGAGAAAGTTGAAGAAGAATCTCATTTCTGGAGCTTTATTCAGAAAGCAGAATTTTAAGGTTGTTTTACTGGGACCAGGGCTACCATCATGTCTGATACTAGTTAGATTTACAACTTCAACCCCCATCCAGTGGGATTAGTCACAGGGAACAAGATAAATATATAGACAAACAGACACACATGGACTATCCTATCTTTAGGGTTGCCTAGGCAGCCATCAGTGGCCTCATGGGATGACCATTAATTCAATGCAATATTGATTTCCCAACAGAGCTGATATTGTTTAAGTGAACACAGAACTTAACATACAATACAATGTAGAGACATACATACAATGAATATCAGAAGCTTGATATTTCACATAGCTAATCAGCAGGCACTCTTAAAAGAATAAAGACTTGACCGGTTCCTATTCTATTTTTTGCCCATGTTGTTCCGACATCTAAATGACTATGTGTGCCTGGTGCACATTTTCAGATAACAGATATTTGTCACCTATTTAATTATTTTCTGCTATACTATTCTTTCCTGGGTGCACATTTGCTAACACATTACATTCTAAGATGTATACATTTTGACCCAGAGCATATCCCAATATCCCATCCTTGGGCTTTTGTTCTTGTTGTTGTTACGGGGACAAATTCCCACACTATCAAGTGCCAGAAATCTGACTCATCTGTAGGGAAGTTGTGTAGCTGGGAAACACTCAGCACATGTATTCTCCACTTAAATTATTTCTCCCACTGAAAATATGTTAAAATGTAATCTCTTTTATAAAGAACCAGTCATGTTTTCTTTTGGGTTTTTTTAGAACCAGTCATGTTTTTAATGTAGATTCATACATGTAACTCGGTTATCCAGTTACTTATTCTTATTTAATGCATAATTATTTTAGGAATATAGGTTTTGTGAAACATGAGATAAAGCAGGTACAAAATCTTTGTGAAGAGCACAGGTTTATTCTAGGAACCACGTGGGGATATCTCAGAAGTTGGAATTAACAGGAGACGCAAAGATTTCAGGTGAAACAGGTAATTGGAACATGATACTTTGTTTTTCCCTTTGGCACTGTTCGTACTAGTGTTTAATTTTATGGAAAAAGAAATAGCCACGAATACATTTTTTTGTCTTCCTTAGAGAAAGTTTATTCTTTCTCTGATCTGGGGCTCATAGGTTTTCTTTTTTTTTTTTTTTTTTTTGATTCTAGATGACTAGTGACGATAACTTTTTCTACCTTGGCACCACAACTGGAGACATTCTAAAGATGAACCCTAAGACTAAACTTTTGTCAGACACTGGACCCTTGAAGGACAAATATAGCCTGGTAAGCAGAGACTATCAAGTCTGTTCTGCACTGCTGTATACTAGTAACCTCTTCCCTCCATAATCTATAATTTTATAGTCTGTGAAACAAAGAAAAATCTGTCATATACCCAAGGTCACATGTGCAATTGTAATGTGAATGGAATAGTTCTCTAAACATACATTTATGGTTTATAATTACAAGTATTGTCTTGGTTAGAGAATCAGAATTGTATTTTTGTGCCAAGAAGATAGCTCAAAGGGCTTGAGTGCATCCTTCATATGCAAAAGCTCTCAATCCCCTGCGATCTCATGGTCCCCTATTTCATGCTACCCTGAGAACTTCCAATGTAATACCCCCTCAAAAAAATACACCTTTGTTTTCGCCTCTTCAAAGCATAAGGCTATGACTTGGTGGTTTGTAACCATGCTATTTTATTGGGCATACCTACAGCCATATAGAGAAGTGTGCTGTTTGAGCTTTAAGACTGTATTTTTAAAAGTTTTATTGACCACCATGAATTAAAAATTATTTACAAATACAGTTATGACTGAGTTTCAGGTATGCAATGTAGCAGAACCAATATCATCACCAGTGTTCACCACCCTCCACCATTGTCCCCAGTTTCTATTTATCCCCCCCCAGCTTGCCTCTATAACAGGCAGATTTCCCCTTTACCATTATCATTCTGAGTTCTCTTTCTCAATTCATTCAACATGTTACTCTTTGGATCCATCCACATAGCAGAAAATTGCATGACTTCATCTTCTCTTATGGCTGAATAGTATTCCATTTTAGATAGATATTATGGGTTTTTTTTCCAGTCATCTCTTCTTGGACATTTTGATGGTTTTCATATTTTGGCTATTGTGAATAGTGTTGAAACAAACATAAAAGTGTAAATATCATTTACACTGCATCATGCTTTTTCCTTTTGATCCTTGGGATATATTCCCCGGGGTGTAAATACTGGGTCATAAGGAAAATAAATCCTCGTTTTTTTGAGGAATGTTCAGTTTTTTGAGGAATGGCCAACCTTCCAAAAAGGTTAAACCAGTAAACTTTTTCATCAGCAGTAAAAAAGAGTCCATTTTCTCCCACATCTTCACCAACACTGATGGCTGTTGTTCTTTTTGATGAGTGTCAGTTCTCTCTGCTGTGGGGTCATATCTCATTATTGATATCTCATTTTTGTTTTTATTTTCATTTTCCTGATTAATGACATAGAGCATTTTCATATTCCTTTTTGCTATTTGGATGTTTTTGAAATTTTGACGTTTTGGAAGTTTCTGTTCACCTGTTTTCCTGATTTTTTTGTTTGAATATTTTATCTTAAAGAGTTCTACCAATGCTTTATAAATCTTGGATATTAACCCTTTATCAAATGAGTGGTGCACAAATTTCTTACAATTTGTGGGCTTTCTTTATTAACTGGTCATCATTTCCTTTGTGGTGCAGACGCTTCTTAATTTAATACAGTTCCATTTGTTTAATGTTGCTTCTACTTGCTTGGTCAGTGGTGTTTCATTGTTAAAGATGCCTCTAACTTCAATTTCATGAAGAATTTAGCCTGTGTTTTCCTCTGTGTACCTTATGGATTCAAGTCTAATATCAAGTTCTTTAATTCATTTCAATTTTGATCCTGGTCGGATTCCACTGCTCAAGACGAGCCTCATCCAAAAATTAGTCTGAGGGAAAAATCTGGTTTGCAAGTTTTCTAACTGAAATTTCCAGGTTTCTATAAAGTCAGGGATGGGCTACCTTCCCCCCATCTCCCTGTACTTCCAGAAGCCCTAACAGTCATGCCCATGAATCATCTCCAGCATGAAGCAAACTCATTCACTGGCAATGATCCAGAAACTCATAAATAAATCTCAAAATAGATCAACAAGTTGTAGAGTTTCTTCCAGACCCAGCACAAGGCTGAGTCATCTGGGGCACCATGGAGTGGGGGTGTGTGAACATAGCACCCACCCAAATAGAGCCCCAGCAGCCAAAATCCTCCACACTCCACAATTGCTGCCATGCTCCCTGCCAGACTCTACTGCTCAGGATGCGCATCACCCAGAAATTAAACTGTTGAAAAACTCAGGTCTGTGGTTTTTGTGACTGAAATCTCCAGGCCTCTACTGAGTCAAGGATGATCTACCTCCCCCCATCTTCCTGTACTCCAGAAGTCCTGGCACTCATGCAGATCCCCCAAAGTTGCCTCCCAGTTAAAAATTTAACTCCATTGTATCACCACAATAAAAATTTTGGACTTCCTGGACCACGTGGCCACAAATATGGCCATACAACATCTTAAACTCTGAAATACAGATAAACCAGGAGCAGCACACCAGATTGAATGTAGAAGGCAACCAATTTTGATTAACGAAGTATTAACACATAAAGATTAACCTGTAACAACATCTTAGTAATCTCTTATACAAAGATTTAATGCCTCCATGGTGAGATACAACAATCTTCACTAACGTTCCTTTAAGGAAACATTTTCTATCATTCTAATAGCAAATAATTTATAACAAGAAATACAAAGTAAATTATTGATAGCCTGGGCAGACTTAAGGGATGGTTGGAAATATTGAAGATAATGGTGGTGGGAAAGTTAAATGGTGGTGGGATTGCTGCTGGCATATTGAATGTCTGTAACAAATCATCATGAGAAACTTTATAAAATAAATAAAAATTTAAAAAGAATAATACATTTTTGTTTGACTACTGTGAACGGCATTAGAAAAAAGATTTGAGTTAAATACTTTTGGCATGGGACAAACCAGTTTTCCAAATCATACAACTTATTAAAAAGGCTTTCCTTGCTACACTTCATACTTTTGCCACTTTATTGAAGATTAATTGAACATATACCTAAGAGTCTGTCTCTAGATTTTCTATTCTATTCCATTGATCTGAAGGTCTGTCTTTAGTCCAGTACCACATTATTTTAATTAGTACTGCTTAATAGTACAGTCTGAAGATGGGGAAAGTGATGACTCATTTTATTTCTTTTTTTGTTTTGTTTTTTTTGTTTTGTTTTTAGGAACTATTTTTTTAAAATTTTTATTAGTGAAACACCATGATGTACAGTTGTAGACTTACAAATTTTTGTGTTTGGATTTCAATTATACAATGATCAAATACCCATCCCTTCACCAGTACCCATTTTCTTGAAAATTACTTTGGCTATTTGGTGGGGAGGGGGTATTTATTGTCCTACCTGAATTTCAGAAGTGTTTGATATATTTCTTTGAAAATGTCATGGGTACACTTATAGAGATTACATTGAATCTGCGTAAAATTTAGGGAGTAATGCCATTTTTATGATGTTAATCCTCCTAGTTATCAAACAGGTAATGAGTTTCCTTTCTTTATATTCTTTTTTATTCAAGTAGTAGTTTATAGTTTTGTGTGCGATAGCACAGCGGCAGGGCGTTTACCTTGCACACAGCCAACATGGCCGACCCGAGTTCGATTCCTCCGCCCCTCTCGGAGAGCCCGGCAAGCTACCGAGAGTATCTCGCCCACATGGCAGAGCCTGGCAAGCTCCCCGTGATGTATTCGATATGCCAGACACAGTAACAACAAAGTCTCCAATGGGGACGTTACTGGGCCCGCTCGAGCAAATCGATGATCAACGGGAGGGCCTTTACTTTACTTTATTTTGGTCATTCTAATTTCTTTTTTGAGAAAGTTCCTGTTAATTTCATCGTCCCATTTTCTGATAAGATTGGATGTTTTCTTTTGTAGAGTTCAACCAGTGCCTTGTATGTCCTTGATAATAATACCTTTTCGGATGGGTATTAGGTGAATATCCTTTCCCATTCTGTAGACTGTCTTTGCAATACCTATTTTTAAGAGATGTTTTTTTTTTATCATGTATGAGTGTTGGATTTTGTCAAATGCCTGCACCTATTGGTATCATATGATTTTCCCCTTGTATTTATGGTGTATTAGTTTATTGCATTGTGTATGTTTAACAATCCATTCATCCTGGGGTTAATCCCACTAGATCATGGTGTATGATCTTTTATATCAGTTTTTTTAATTCAATTTTCAAGTATTTTGTTGAGAATATTTGCATCTATGTTCATCAGAATTATAGGTCTGTAATTCAATTTTGTGCTATCTCTGCTTTTGGTATCAGGACGATGTTTGATTCAGAGTAATTATTTGAGATTGTTTCTGTTTCTTCAATTTTCTGAAAGAACCTGAAGATTGGAAGTGGTTCTTCTATAAAGGAATGAAAGAAATCACACACGAACCCATCTGGGCCTGGGATTTTGTTTCAGGGGAGAATTTTGATTACCATTTTGACTTTCTCGACAGTATTATACAGGTATTCCATATCATCTTGGTTCCGTGTTGGTAAATCATAGGAGTCCAAGAATTTATCCATTTCTGCTAGGTTCTCTCCTTTCAAGGGACACAGATTTTCATAGTAATCTCTGATGATCCTTTGAATATCTGTGGTATCTATTGTGACATTCCTCTTCATTTCTGATTTGGTTGATTAGGGCTCTCTCTATTTCTTGTGAGTCTTGCAAATATATCTTGTTTATTTTTTTTTCAGAGAATCAGTTCTTTCTTTTGATAATATTCTGAATTTTTAAATTCTAATTCATTAATTTCTGCTCTAAATTTTATCATTTCCTCCTGCCTGCTTTGTGCTCCTTTTATTGTTAGTTGTTCAGTTTCTTTAGCTGTGTGTGAAGTTAGATCATTTGTGTGGGGGGCTTTCTTCCTTCTGATGAATGTTTACAAAGCTATGAACTTTCCCCTTAAAATTGTTTTTGCTGTGTACTACAAGTTCTGGTAGCTCATTTTTTCATTCATTCATTCATTCATTCATTCATTCACATTTATTTCCAAGGATCTTTTCATATCCTCTCTGATTTCTTCTCTGATCCATTGGTTATTCAGTAATGAGATTTTTAATTTCTAGGTGTTGAATTATTTCTCTGTTTCTGTTTATGCTTGACTTCTATTTTCAGTGCAATGTGGTATTTTCCTTCTTTGATCTT